TTATCTTGTCCATATGCGTAACTTTGTGATAAGGAGAAGACATTTTTAGGTCCAAGTCTGAATTTGGTACAGGTGCTGGCGGCGAAACAATTGTCGAACTTCTGGTCGTTGATTAAAAAGCGGGCTTATCGGTCGCGGTCGCGTCGTAGATAGTTGCATGGGTGCTCGTCTGGCTCGATTTTGGTGTTTCAGTGCTCATAAATAGACCCCCAGTCTGAAGTAAGGTCAAAACACCAAACAAAAATAGGAATACTGGTCTTGGCTTACGCCTAAGGAGTGTTGCTTTGACATTGACGCCGACCAGGTGCAAAGGCAAACTTCCAGCCATCTGGCCAAATCATTCAGTGCACAATTGAGGTATTTCCACGACGACGCCAGCCATTCTGCTGCAAGCGACCGCCTAAATCTTTGCTTGAAGCTATGACTGATGGATTGCAAAAGCTCCACAGAGCATGTCACAATTTTCTTAAGAGGTTTTCCGTTGGCCGATAGAGACGATACGGACGATTGTCGCAATAGGGATGTTGAGGACCTCGAGGACACGAAGGACGACAGAGACGAAGGGGCGGCGGTAAGAGAACGACAATGACAATAATTTAGCAAAATATGCCATTGAACCCTCTCGATCTTTAAGTCGGGAGTATGCAGTCAGACAGGAAAACTCCCATTAACAAGGCTCACTGACTTTGGGCACTCGGCATGGCTGGACCCTCTCTGAAAAGCTGCGCGGTCTTAATACCATGATGACCTCAATTACTGTCGCTTTGTATTCACCACTTTATCTCTTCTCTCAGAAATTAGGAAAAGCATTGCCCGGATCCCCAGTAAAGAGGTCTTGTCGTATTTGCCCGCAAGCGCTCACCTGCCTCGATGAAATCCTTCCATCTAATTATTCCAACCCCGTGAGCTTAGTTGACGAAAGACATTACGGGCAACAGCAAAGCCGCGCTCACTCGCCATTACAGAATGCAAGTGTAACTTTAGTTCTTTTCTAAAAATATTTCTGATATTTCCGCTGGAGATTCCGGGGTTTGAGTCTTGCGCGCCGCAAACTCATCCAAGAAATATGACTGCATTGTAGCAAGTAGTTAAGTAGTTTGTGGAGAGCCCTTGTTCCCTACGGCTACTCAAGATCTCGGTCCACCATTTCCACGGACCAATTCCCCGAGATCTTCATAAATTGGCATTCGCCAAACTCGATCATGATTATGAAGCAGACGGGTCTACAAGCCTACGACACGCATGCAGAAGCCGCCCTTGAACTTGGCTGTACACAATCACAACCTAGCGATCGAGCACGGTTGTGAGGTGATGTACAGAGTCATAGTAGCCAAACCTTGCTTATTTGCGGACCGCAGCGGGAAAAGCGGCTTCGGTCAGTGGGGGTGTTGATCCGTGTACAGTCTGACGTGATTTAACATCGAAGTATATCTCAGTTCATCCCTACGAACTGTTAGGGTTTGGCTGCACGTACCCGACGCCCGGGATGCAATGCAAATATGCACAGAAGACAGGCTCGATAAGAAATCTCTATGCAGCAGTATTACCCCGAGCTCACCTCCACTTGATATGATTACGGGAGATCACTCGTGACGGAAAACCTTCTGGCCGGAATGCGACAGGCGCGCGGGAGAGGCCCCGCTGCGGACAGATGCCATATTGTTTTGCCCGTGTAGGGTCGTATCGACAGGAGCTGACCCTGGGCGCCAAGAGTCGGTCTGTGCGACGATTGATTGATCGTATCCTGTTTTTGAAGATACCGAGGGTGTTGAGCCGGCGGGCTGAAGAAATGGTCGAAATCACCACATGACTGAGGATATGATAGACTCGTGATTGAAAGGTGCGCTTCCAACGGCTCTGTTCTTAGACAAAGAAGTCGGATCTCAGGAGAATCCGTTATATTGGACGAGTCCCCCATGTCATGGTCAGATAGACGAGAGCCTTCAGTCCAGATGATGCAAGTGACCCAAGCCACCACGTTTATCAGCCAATACCCGCTGGAATGACTCGCATCTTCACTCTTCATAGGCGAAAGATGCCTACCTCTCTGCTGATCTGCAGGGGTACATACAATCTGCCGGCTGTCAGCTCTCTTCTAGGTAAGCACTGTAACCATTTGATTCATGATCCTGAAGCACGCCCGCCTGGGCAGTTCGGGGACATCGGAAAGAGAAAACCTGTATTCGTCCGAATAGCAAGATGGGATATATAAAAACATGGACCCCAGAGTTTTCTGGGGTTCGCTCTTTCTTGAGTTCAACCAATGTCTTGGCTCCATCGATCGCAGGTTCGTTAATCCACAGTCAAGCCGCGACCATGGATGAAAGCCCACACGGTCGTCAGCTGGCGAGGAGTACGCCCATGCCAGCATTCAACATGACTCAAAGGGCTTGTATCGGATTCAATGCTTCCTTTATCATCTTCATTGTCTTCGTCATTGGGATCAGACTTTACTCCAGATACGGCATCACCAAGTCGGGAGGCCCAGATGATAGTGTGTGCCGAGTACGTGCCTTCATAGCCAAGTTCGATAGCTGATGTATCGTGATAGTCGTCATGGTTGCTGGCACCGTAGGCACTATGATCTTCATTCGAGGAACACTATCTTGACACCGTCTCGCAGATCGCGACAATCATCATGTCAATATGCATCATTATTTCTGTCTCCAATGGCCTCGGACTCATTAGTAGGAGAAGGGATGTCCTGCGGATGCCCGAGCATAACTGACTTGGTGTTTAGTTGCCGACATTCCACCAGAAAGTTGGAAGCCCATGTTACTGGTTCGTGTTTTCCCGCCCATGTCCCTCGCGTTATCGTATGCCAAACCATTCAAGACTCTAACATGGCATAGTCCTTCTGGATCTCCCGAGTCTTCTACGCCTTTGCTTTGATGCTAGTAAAGATAGCCCTGCTGCTGTTTTACCTACGTCTCGATCACCGACCACGAATGCGATGGGTAGTCTTTGGATTGATGGCGGTCGTCATCGCGACGGGGATTGCCCACGCCGGCATTTCCATCTTCGAGTGCAGCCCGCCTGCCATATTCTGGACATTTGAAGGAAACTTTAAGATATTCGGAGAACACTGCATGACGGCGGCTACGCAACAAAAGTTCTGGGACGCGACCGGAGCTATTGTTGTCGTGACAGACCTGTGCTTGTGGCTGTGCCCCTTACCCATGGTGTGGTCGTTGCAGCTGCCCATAGTAAGAGACTTTCTACCTTTGAGTTGTGTTAAGTTACTGAAAGTTGCGACCACAGCGACAGAAAATCGCGGTTTCTGCCGTATTTGCCCTTGGGATAGTTTCCGTTGCAGGTATGTCTCAAGCAAACCATCTTCCTTTGCCCTTTTCTTTCATCCTGCTGACGATCCAAAGCTGCCTGCACGCGGTTCTATTACGTGCGAAAACTGGCATCGACGAAAGAAATCTACCAGCAATTCGCTGAGTCACTTATCTGGTACTCACTGGAGATTTATCTCGCCATCTTCTGCGGGTGCACCTCTGCCTTCAAAGTCTTCCTCAGGAAGCATTTCCCATCGCTATTGGGCTCCTTAGCTTCAAAGACAAGATATGTTCTCGGAAGCAGCGGCAAGAATGGGAATGTGAGGATGACGGCTTCATCGTTCCCCATGCAGAACTTATCCGGCCGGCACACGGGACGAAGAACTACGATCACGGCAGTTGACACCCGTGAAGGGTCTGAAGCACGAAACGAGGTTCCACCAACTAATGATAGTGAAGAGGCTATTGTTCCAAAAGCCAGTACAACGGATTGGGATACGCGGAAGGAATAGAAACATTAATAGTAAACTCTGTAACCAACTTGGTTGTAATTGACGCCAAATATGGCACTCGACTTTTGTAAAAGGATACCAGAGCTTTACTCTTTTCATCCTCACTGTGAACTCGACGGTGGATGCAGAAATTGTATTGTTGTCTTTTGGTTCAATAGAGGAGTGGGGGGCGGGGCTTAAAAGGATATACCGCGAGCCCTTGACAGCGGGTGATGGTTGATGCACCGCCTGATGCGGGAGTGACGAGGCGCACGCCCGCAGCATGGGAGACTAGATCAAAATCTCTTGTGACACCAGCATGTGATTTCATGTCAGGCTTCAAATATACGACCGATGCTTTTTGTTTTGGCCACTGCAGGAGACACGCGCTTGTCAAGCAGACGGCAGATGAGTGGTACATACCATTCCTCTCCAACGGTATATGGATCCAAGACCCTTAGTCCATGGCCCGTCGGCACTTCCTCAAAGGAATTCTAGTCCCGGGTACTATTCCTAGCCAGTTATTCTTATTTTGCGTATCAACCAAGGCTAGTTCCAGACCGCAGCCATGTCTCGGATAAATCTCCACAAGTATGGGAACGGCAATTTTGATCCAGAACCGTATGATGAGGCACCACAAGCAACTGCCGCCTTACTGCTGTTAGTCAAGAGTTTGCGACATGGCTGGCTGAATCACATTCACAATCTGCTCGCGCAGAAAAGAATATCAACAGACGCGAATTGGTCAGATCCATCGCACCATAAAACGTATGTAACTTATAACATCTGGGCCTGTCGCCCTCCATGATGATGGCAATTTTCGTCCTCGACAATCTTAAAGGGCTCCGCTGCAGTGCATCTCCGGAAGTCTCTTCTATATTATGGAAGGCAATCATGATCAAAAGTGGAAGAAGTACCCTGCCTTTCCCCTGACGGATGCTGCCACAGCTGAAAACGGGGATTATGTCATTCACTCCGATAGTGAAGCAGAAATCGCGGCCGTTGACGCTGAGGTGAAATCAAAAGTCTGGTTCCGAAGTCCGGTGAGATATGTCCCTCCCATAATTCACATTGGAGGTAGTCTAATTCATACGTTCTCCTTCAGCGATTGGGTGCCGATACCATCAAGCGAATCAATCGAATTCAGCTTCACACCAAGTCTAGCGATCAAGGGAATTGCCTTGACAAGGAAGCTGGGACCTGGACATGGTTCGAGATCGCCATCATGGCAGACGAACAAGCAGAAACCCCAAGAATCAAGGACGGTATCAAGCTCACGTGGGAGAGCCATCTCAACGTTCAAGCACAATCGGTCCCTGAAGAGGTATGTCCACATGCTCTTCCTACTCATCAGCCCATGCGTCATCAAAAGTCCCATAGGAAGAATCATGAATGGAACTAAATATTGCAGAGAGCCGGCCGAGAGTTTGAAACAGGAGAAAAGATATTTGGAGCTCTTGAGGTAAGCCGATTAGATGCGAAATCTCTAATGGGATGGCAAACTAATGTTGAAATAGGAGGGGAACGTTCTTGCGGTACAAATTTGTGCTCAATACCCCGAGTGGGCTATTTATGCCGAGGAAGGCTATCTGGCCATTGAACTTGGGAATCCTAGTAAGTAATCCTGTGTCTCAATCACGACTTTCAAGATTTTGAACCCTTTGTTAGCGGACCACACCCCCGTAAACTTCGAAAATGTGGTGTCGCGCACGAAAAACTTCCAGCACGCCATCATGGAAATGAACGAGGTACTGTATCCTGGCATGGAACAACGTCGTCTTCCCGATATTGTATTCAACGCTTCACGTATCGATACGAGTGAAACGCATCAACTACGTGTTCTCGTCATAGGTATGTCAGATTATTCATCACATTTGGCTGCAAGAGTGAATTGTTCTGATCACCTCATAGATGGTGGGGGCGTTAGAGGCCTCGCTGCACTCCACATCCTGAACAAGATAATGATCAGGGCGCACGGCGAGGACTATGACGCAAAGAACATCAAGCCCTGTGATGTATTTGACATGATTTGCGGTACCAGTACTGGAGGGTAAGTCATTCAATGAGGTCCCTAGTGAACTGAAGGCTCAGACACTGTTCCACAGGCTCATTGCCATCATGCTCGGCCGGATGGAAATGAAAGTTAGTGATTGCATCAAGGAGTACAAGAACTTCATGGACAAGGTTTTCCCGCGCGGCATATTGGACAACAAGTTTCTGAACGATATCCCCGGTGTTGGGTACTTATTGTCGGGGTTGTCATGGGTACGAGAGACATTCAACGAAATTTCCAAAGGTGAGAAATGGGCGTCTGATGAATTGGAGAATTCCATCAAGACAGCGATGCGGACATATATGCAAGATCAGGAAGGCAAGCCAGCGGATCCGGAGCAGGTTTTGCTGAAAGACGACGATAAGGCGAAATGCAAAGTGTAAGAAGAAGAAAATACCGACCTTGGGGATTCAGCTAACGTCTAGAGACAGGTTCGTCACAGCTACCCGGAAGCAGAACGCCAACAGCACCGCCCCTGTCTTGTTGCGGTCCGATGTGAACCCAGTCGAGAAAAACGAATTGCCCACCATTAAATTATGGGAAGCAGCTCGAGCTACAGCCGCGGCGCCCTTGTACTTCAAACATGTAACTGTTGGAGAATACACTCTCGTGGACGGTGGACTGCAGGCCAACAACCCGCTGGGATGGTAAGTCGGAGGTTCTAACCTGCCTGCCGTCAATAGACCAAAGTGCTAACTAGTAGTTGACAGGGCATGGAATGAGGTTATGACTACCTTCGGGCCTGCACGCACGACTAGCTGTTTCTTGAGCATTGGCACAGGCGCAGCCGAAGCAAAAGCGATTCCTACCATAGGACTCAACTGGGACCTCTTGAAAATCAAGGCCGCGTTCCTGGACGCTCTGTCAGCCCTGACCACCAACACGGAGATCACCAACGTTCTATTTCGATCGCTGATCAACAATTTTGCTCCTCAAAGCGGTATCAAGAAGTATTGGCGGTTCAACGTTGGCGACGGATGGGTTGATTTGGTGAAGAAGAACGACTCGTGGGTAGCGCAATCGGATTCGGATCCGAAGCCGTTCGACATCGCCCTGGATGACTCAGGTAAGAAACGCGAGATAGCGGACGAAGCTATGAAATACATGAACGCAGACGGAAAAAATCAATTCAACAAGATTGAGGATTGTGCTGCGGCTTTGCGCGACCGAAGCTCGAAAGATGACGATGCTAGGTCTCTTGCTACTGCTCCTGTTCCCACTTCATCTCTTCCGACGCCGCCGCCGGACAAGACTACATTCGAGGAGGGGGCCCATTGAACTAGTGTAGTGTACTAGTGGTAGCAAGTAGATTTCATTGTCTAGTAATTCATGTCATATGATTTCGACTCGACCTCAAATGACCCAGGGAATAAACCTCGCCGTCTTCGCATGCCACTGCACCCAATCCTCCTTAAACTCCTCCTTCAACATGGCCTCCTCCTCCACGACTCTCGTTCCAACCCCAGTCAAAAACAAGCAACCCCCAATAGCCAGGCCCGCAATCTCAACCCCCGTCAAGGTCCTCACCATGTCCGGCCGGATCCAGCATCCAAGCACTCCATCCAATCTCGCAAGCAGGGCAATGTTGCACAGCACAAGCACTACAACGGCAGTGTAACTGGGGTGCTGCATGTACGCATAAATCCCCGTGGTCCGCAGCCCGCTCGGCTTGGTCAGCGCGAACGTAAAATTCTTGCCGAGGTGGCGGTACGGGATGAGACGCAGTGGGACACCAACGAAGAAGAGCAGCGCAAGCGGGATGGCCGTGGAGGGGGACCATGTGATGAGGTCTTTGTTGAGGTTCTGCGCGCCGTGACCGAGCAGGGCTGGCGGCACGTTGGGGTATTTGTAGGCGAGGGACGCAGCGTGAGAAGAAAGGAGGGCAAAGGGGATGATCATGAACTTGGCGAAGTGGTTGTGGGTGAACTTCCACATGTGCATTGAGTCGCGGATTGGTTGGCCCTTTTGGTCGGTCGTTGGAGGGGCGTCGGCGGGTCGCGGGTTTGGAGGGGAGAGGGCGATATAGGTGCCGTAGGTTGAGGCTACGTAGGCCGCAGCCAGGGATAATTGTGAGAAGCTCATCGTGAACGACTGCTCTGCCTTTGGTGATGTGAAATGAGATGTTGAGGTTATTGATTTGGAAGAGGACGGTGGCGGGGATTTGAAGTCGGAGGAAGCTTAGTGACGTTTGGTGGCGATGGCACGGGCCACTTTTAGCGGCCCGCGCTAGTCGATTCAACAGCTGGGAACCCTGGAGAATTAGCGCAAAGGGAGAAGAAAAGACATGATGCGACTGTGATGCAAACATGAATTTTCAACCGACTTGTTGGTGCTTCGCCGCTGAGTTGGCATGTTTGCTTGAGATATGTCGCTTACACTGCGCCAACTGTCCACCGGGATGCTGAATTAGGGAAATGCGACCCCTGTCGTTCTCGCGTAGGCGGCTGAATTAGCGGCAGAACGCTTGTTTGCCAAGCCGGTCTCGCCCGCGATTGGTGTAACTGCAACTACATCTCTTCACGATAGATGATCTGAGACCGCTCTTTCATGACCGACTGAATGAACTCAACATTATCGTATTTCGACGTCGGCGCCGTCGTACGGATTTCTCAGCGGGCGAGAACAGGGTTGTGGTCCTCGTTGCATCACGTAATTTTTGTTATGTACATCTGAAATCTTATCCGCATCTTCACGTCCCAATCTAAGTGACATCGATTGTAGTCTAAATGAAACATTTGTATTGATTCGAGTGGTAGAACAATTGTCTCTCTCACGCCATCCTTAACAACCTTTTTCCTCATCCACATCCACATCCTTCCCCATCCACAACCATCCACATCCACAACCATACCCACAGCCTCAACATGCATCAACTTATTCCAATGCCCCCTACACGCTCCATTGTGACACAACTTCTTCGTGCTTTTCAATGCCAGCCAAAGTGCGACAACTTCTGTCTCTCGCTAACTCCAACGATCGTCGATGCCCTCTGCTCCAGACTCCTTATTGCCAATCTCATTTCCGTGGCTGTGTGCGCTTACATCCCCTTTACTCCGTCGTCGTCATCATTGTTCCTCATCATCAACGTGTGAGCCCCGCCATCAGCGTCTACAGGACCATCTCGCGTTCACGTTCCTGTTGCGCCCATTGTCTGACACCGTGACTTGAAACCTCCTATTGTTGAAGTTCCTCGGGGGATCGCCTCTGAAATCGCAAGCAGGCCGGTTGTTGCTGCCCTTCGGGCTACCACCGGCAGAACGACACTCTCGCTGTGCCTGGCGCGCGAAACTTTGATCAAAGCGGCGATCGAGGTTTCCTTGAGGCGAGGCAGTGCAAGTGCTCGCGTATACGCTGGCAGCTCCAAGGAGGAAGAACCAGAAGAGAAGGGTGAACTTCACTGCGTGACTGTTAGCATAGGATTCTTGGTTGAGTGATGGTGCACCTACTTGTTGATGTCCTTGAGGAGATCTATCTGTGTAGCGTTGATAATGTTTACTGAGAGAAGTGTTCTTGAATTGATGGTGGGTGGCAATGGAGGAAGTGATGATGGAGCAATCAGTCCAATTTATATCACTCGCTCACGATCTTGGCATAATTCTCGCCAAATTCAAGATACGCGTCCTCTCTGGTCCCCGAACTCGAAGCTTGCCCACGATCTTGGCCTCGTCCAATGATTTTCACCCTAGCCCGCAGCTGGCCGGTTTGGGTAAACAAGACATCAGATCTCGCAAACCTGATTGGACCACCTTATTCGGTTTCGCATTTGAGACGGCGGCAGTGATGAAGCTTAACCCTACCGCTACCACGGGGCAAAGGCTCTAGGGGGAAAAGTATGCGTCTTTACAGCCTCAACCCCGCGCGCGCGTCGTAGAGATTTATTTTCCCTGCCAAGGCGCTATCTGTAATTGGCCAGCAACCTGCGACACGTGCGATTTTATTGAGCATGTTTGGTGGATGTGAGGTTCGTCGATACCCGACGCGTGCAGCTTGCAGTAGCCCCTGTTGAAAGGCGGGATGGAAGAATAAGCTTGAAGAACGGGGTTGTTTTGTCGCAAAAGCGCAACAAGATCGTATCTGGAATTTTGTTCGCGTTTGAAGAGAGCGGCACCATTCCCCAGTCGGAGAGGCAGGCGAGTTCCGTGACATCACTGGAGCGTGTGGTTGCCGGCGGGAGACTTCTTCGCCTTGGCCTGCTGGAAAGCCTCACTTAACTCGCAAGCTTCTAAGCCTATTGGTGAATTCAAGAGAGAATTGTGCTATCAGTCTGCCTTGTCGGCTTGCTCGGATCACCAACGATCATGTTCACGATCATACTCTTCCAGCATGAAAACCCTCATCTTCTAGTCTAACGGGGCGCGGCAGTCGTCTTCCAACAAAGAGTTCGATTCGGGGTCTTGGCGGCTGAGGCTCGATTTGCAGGCTTGGCTTTTTGGCTCCCGCGATATAATCAGTGAATCCACGGACCAGACGGCCCTCCCATATCTCCGCCGGGTGGGCGCATCGACACAACCCAGTCCACGGATCACTCCGGATCGACAGCACTCAAGGCCAAGATCGGAGGATAAACTCTAAAATAAACCCAACCCAGTTCGCACTCTGCCCGTACCCCAGAACCCCCTCCCGGCTCGACCTGCTCCGTCGATGGTCCGGCTGTAGTGCGACGGGTGCGTGCTGCGGCAACACTTTAATCTTGGAGGAGCAAACGGCGTGATTCTCCCTTCCCGAGAACGGGTGCATGTCAAGGTTGCCGCTGCCAAATATCTTGTCTGGCAGGGGCCGAGCGGTGAGTTCATGTAGCTGCGTTGGCATATCGGCAGCGTCGATCAGCGGCCGAAGCGCCTCGTAACAAGGAGACGCACCCGACTGGACCGCTCTCGGGCGGCAGCTCGCACAAAGTTCGCGACGGCAAGAGTCCTTCGTCCAGTCCTTTAACGATAAACATAACCTCCTCCCCTAAACGGGCACCATCAGGTAGTGTATCTGCCCTCGTGGTCGCAATCGGTTGTGCATAATTTGTCACGGAAAGTTCGGATCAGACAACACATCGCAGCAGCGTCGACAGTATTGTCAGATGGCCAGCTTAGGACTGGAGGCGTCGCCATCGTCTGAAGAAAGCGGCGTTGTTTATGGTTTGGGGCCTTGGTTTCGGCTGGGGCTGCCGCGCCGAGAATCAGGGTCCAATTATCGCGCGTTCCGACGACGAGGAATACGCGATGCGACGCGAACATCGCCGTCTGCTCGGCCGGCGGGTGCGGGATGTCAGGCTGTGAGTTTCCTTGGCGAAGACCAGATTTTTCCCAAGGCCGCGAATGTCCGCTTTGGAGTATCGCAGTATCAAATTCCAGACTGGCGAGGAAAGTTCCATGAGCCAACTGTCCCCGCGCTTCTCAATTCTTGATACTGAAAACACGGCAAGCACGATTCATGTTTGTCCGGAATGAGGCGATGCTCCAAGTCAATATGAGTTTCGTTTCAGCAGGTGGAACCGCGTATGATCTTGGCATCAGGACTTGGCGTACGGGTCGATCCTCCAAGACGTCACTTCGCGACATTGCCGTCCACGGGTTCCTCTTGAACAGGTGCCGGACTGTCGGGAAGCACCAGATGCACATGATACACCCGGTGTTGAGAATTCGATTAACCCGGCGGCTTAATGGTGTTTTCCCCCAAGGCATTTGCTGAATGCACTCATTATTCGCACCCATTCCTTTGAGGCAGTCGGTTTTGTCCGTGTTGGCAGTTCATCCTAATCCAAGCAGCCCAACCGGCCGTATGTTGCAATACACCCTCTCAAGGAACCTGACACTCACTCCCATACTTCACATCCCGCCGCTCCGGACCACTCCACTATACCCACTAGCAAACGACATCACAATGCCACGGACGGTTCATAGCTAACAGTATCGGGATCAAATCTGCATATCTCGAATAAACGGCACATGGTGTATCTTTTCAAGTCCATTCTGCTGTGCTCTGGGCTTTGGGGTCCGTTGGAACAGTGCGTTTTATCTGCGTCGTTGGTCATAGAACTGCATATGTATCAGTCCCAACTCGAGATGCGTATATAATTGCTAGAAAACATCAATGAACTACCCATTCCAAATGTAACGCACCAGAAAAGGCAAGCAACATTTTCATCACCTTCCAGTTCAACATGAAAGATGACGTTAACACCGGGCTAAGAGTCTTTGCCAAAGTCTATTGCCTTCAATCACCCCGCCTCCACAACACAAAATATGACGAGCGGAAAGCTCATAGCTGATTCAATGTGAAAATCAAGAGTTCATCAATGTCCGCTGCAACATATTACATGTAATATCGCCCTTCGGTTGGGGATTTCGGATCGTCGAGAATTGTCCCAAATCCAAGATGACTGATATCCTCCGGCGTAAGATCATCGTTCTCCACAGCTGCCTGGCTATGCCACTCGTCAGGCATGCGAAGTTCGCCCCATTTCAAGAGTCGAAAGGCCATGTTCTCCCTGGAGTCAGACATGACCAAGCCGTCATCTTCATCTGGTACATTGGACCCAAAGTCGAACTCCAAGAGTTCCATTTCTTTCATGTCTCCCTGATCTTCACGGGAGAATCCCGGCACCTTTGCCAATGGCGAGACCTCACACGCGGCTTCTATTGCCAATGAATTTGATCCAGCAATCGGCATGTGTCCTGGAAGGAAGGTTTGAGCCCTCAATCTCGCAAATAAGCTCATGGCAGATCCAACGATGATGATCAGCAGAAGCGGAAGAGGTGCAGTTCCCATGATCAAAGTGACATCTGGAGGAAGGCTGACCGGGTCGTTCCAGTAGCCATTTGAAGCCTGGTAATAATCTTTCAGATGAATAGATTGTCAATAGAGCCTTCGGTACCTCGGTGGTCGGGTGTGCTCACCTCCTCGATATACAACGATGAAGAGAGCATTTGAGAGTAGCCAATGCATCA